TGATGATGATAATGATGATGATGATGATGATGATGATGTCGATGATGATTATCATCATTATGAGAATGATGATCATGATGATAATGATGATGATCATGATGATATTGATGATGATCTTAATCATGAGCGTGATCGTGACATCTTATTGAAAAAATGAGGGATGGTTAAGATATCATATATTCTCAGCTACAACATATTCAAAAATCAACAAAATCCAAGCAGAAATAACGGCGTTATTGCTAGCAAAAGATAGGAATGTAGAATCCAAATTTAACAAAAAGTCATCTCCCATAGGGATTACACACAAAAAGTAATGGATCAAGCAAAAATAGTATAATAATAAAGTAAATAAAATATGTATGATATACAGCCCACCTGATAATAAATAATAAAAGCAATTTTAACAAAAATATAAGGTGGTCTGTATGATATACAGCCCACCTGATAAAGGCAATTTTAACAAAATTATAAGGTGGTCTGTATTAGATACAGCCCACCTGATAAATATGCAAAAAAGCTGCAATGCAAAGAGTATAAAGTACGTACTGTAGCGCCATTTTCAAATGAGAAGATAAGTCGATATGTTGCTGGGTGTTAATTTGTGTGTAATGTGTAATGTGTTTCATTATACAATGCAGGTAGTCTGGCTTTGGTTCTGCGGACTTTCAAAGTTTCCCATTTTAGATTTTCCAGCATCTTTGTAACACTCGATTCCCTGTCATAGTCCCTCGTTGTGAATGTCTAGTTTGTCCTGGTCTGACTTATGCTGTGGGTCCCATAAACTGTACATGTAGCTGCATATAACTCTAATTTGGGCCTACATGTAATTTGATGAAGTTTGGTCAATATGTGTGGCACAACCGAGTCCCTTTGAATTCAGGTAGGGGTGGTGTTGCACTTCTTCCAGGGTGACGTTACGCAACCTGTACTTGGTTTGAACTGGTTTCTTTTTAGTGGTTATTTAATTGGAAAACTGTGGCTGCAATTGCTGCTGTATTAAAAACTGTTCTATTGATTCTCAACATTTCAAACACCACTGTTCAAAACTCAACTGATTTCACTAAAAATCGGTACTTAAGTGACAATTTATGTCACCTAAGTAGCAGTAAAATACAATTTTTGTCTCGTCTTTGTAGCAAAAAAGCGAGACTTAGGCGCCGCTTTTCCGGTGACGGCGGCGGAGGCGTCAACATCAAAAACTTAACCTATATTCAGAGAATTTCGTTTTTTGGGGCCTGCTAATGGGCCACCCTTCCTATAAATAATGTTCCAACTTCAATTTTTCATCATATCGAATTGCGTAATGCAGGCGAGACCGCTGAGAGCGTTTCCCTCATTTTTTTTTTGGTATCATTATCCCAGATGGTCTAAAGAATATATGTAGTGAAAACTGATGTTTGAATATGAAGATAATATGATTTATGGGTAAAAATGTGAACTTTATTACCTTACTTCCATAAATTACCATAAATATGCAAATGAGTAAATGAGTGAAAGAATAATAATTACCATAGTAATCTATGTTATAAGACCGTGTCAAAAATCCACGTTGCTACAATAACCACGAAAGGAGGTGTGAGCTTAGTTAGCTTCCTTTTAAAGATACTACGTCCCTTTTGCAGCCAACATCATCTTATGAAGAGCTTTGCAGGAATTATGAATATGTCATGTATGTCCTATCTGTGAAAATTTATAGTTAGCAGTGTCCTTGAATTCAAATTTTGCAAGAAAATCTGTTTACTTGCTAGACTTCACTGTCAGACACTATTGAGTGACTGAATGGCTTTTTTTTTTCTTCTTTGGTAATAACATACATAAAATGAGCTGTAAAGGGTACATGAGCATTTGTCTACATCAATAACCCACTTCTTGTAAAGGCCAAAATTAAACTTATTGAATCTTTGCGCAGCATTAAACGTACGACCATTCAGTTCAATGGTTTGAAAATCAGACTACCGGTATTACTTACTGGCTCTATAGCTCTTAAGTCGATTCGACAACTAATAGTCGTTATATACCTCACTTAAGAAATCCAGCCATGTGATTGGTCGAAATTGCATTCATAAACTTTAACTATTCCTGTAAAATTCCCGGTAAAATTCCAAACCCATGTAATAGTTTTAAAAAATAGTTCTAAAATCCCAGTTACCATGGTTACTGGGAAATTAGTTCAGTCTTGGTGAAATACTCATCGGTTCACATGTTAAAAAAAGGTCTGAACGATCGAGGATACCGTACGTGTGCGATGAATTGGTCGGTAATTTCAATACAATTGAATCTCGATCGATCTTACCGACAATTTTATCTTGCATTGTTGACATGAAGACGAAATAAACTTCCAAAAACAACATCTGCCGATAGATATGATCTAAGTTCATGCCAATGCATTGCAAAAGTAAAAGAAGGGCCCGTTTAATGGAGCTGCCGCGAAGCATCCAACACGCGAAGCCGTTTTCAATCCATTTTAATGTATACATCAGAGAAAACTGCTTAGTGTTGTATCGGTGCGCGATGGCCGAGCGGTCTAAGGCTGTGATTTTAATCACATCATCGTTGGTACGCAAGAGATTGAATCCCATCTTCGACAAAAAAACAAAAAACAAAAAAAAATTGTTAGTCTACTCTCAAAGATACACTCATAAAAAACAACCGTGCAGATAAACTAGATAAAGACCAAGGTGGTGTCATAAGTTGACTCTTTTTTTTTTTGGCATATAAAAGTATTAATGACTGCTTTAATATTCTAGAAATAGTATGGTATTAATGACTGCTTTGAGAGAAATAGTTGTTTTTATACGCTCAAGGGAAGGTTACAATTGTGCTATTGCCCGAGGCGTGAGTGTATCTTTGAGAGTATAGACTATATCTAGATTCTAGTCTAAGCAAGATATTTTTACAATTTTGGGGGTGGGCCGGCCCTGTGGGGAATATGGAGAAAAACCTGCGCTTTCATATGACACCTCACTTATTGAGTATCACCTTCAGGATCACAACAGATAAAGGTTTGAATCTTGAATTGAAAGAAAAAAAACTTTTTTTGCATGGTCGGGCAATGCACATAGACTGCATAGAGACTGCATTGCGTGCAATCTCTATGGGAAGAATTAGCACACAACATCGGGTGTGCGATCAGACACCCTGACTTGTACTAGGCCTAGATCTAAGCATTTTCAGCAACTAAACGAACATGTTTATGGATAATTTCACATACCCTTTTTGTTGTTCTTGCTGTCAGCGAGTCTTGCATTTGATAAGTTGAAAACTTGGGAGAGTTTCTTTAGCCATTTTTGTCTTGTTTGGAATTGTCTTGTCTTGTATGAAAATACTGACCAATTCTTTGCACACGTACGGTATCCTCAATCGCTCAAACCATTTCACCAAGACTGAACTATTTTTTCGGTAACCATGGTTACTGGGATTTTAGAACTATTTTTTAGGAATAGTTAAAGTTTATGAATGCAATTTCGACCAATCAGATGGCTGGATTTCTTAAGTGAGGTATATAATTGATTTTATACGCTCTCGGGAAGGTTACCATTTGGCTATTGCCTTCGGCACGCCGCGGGCAATAGCACAATTCTAACCTTCCCTTGAGCGTATAAAAACAACCATTTCTCTCAAAGCAGTCATTAATACTATATTATTTTCCCACTTAAAGACATTTTCAGGTCCCCTTTTTTTAGGGAAGTTCTAAATTCGTTTTATCTTTCAAATGCTGTTAGAATTTAACTTTTTCATTTTTTGGGCCTGCAAATGGGACATAGTACCTTTAACATCCTGCAGAATACTCGGGAGTATCTCAGTAGTGGTGCTGAATAACTACTGTGTGTGAATAACAGAGATAAAACAAAATATGACTATTGTTTCAAAGTACACAAATTGTTCCTTTCACATAGTAATAATAATTGAAACTATTTAAACTGGAAAATGCATTAATACTTTCTACACTTTCATCTGTAATATGTTCTTTTCTCTTAGAATGCTTTCTTTGTAAGCAAACCTAAGTAACCTTCAAAGAGTATTTATCAAGTTTGAGACTAGAGTAAAGCAATTAGAAATATTGAGATTCACGTTCAAACTCTTATCATGTAACTATTTCTTTCACTTCTATACTTCAATAAATGTTGTCTTCTTTAAAGCAAAGTAATGAATATATTGTCTTTGTCTTGTTTCTGAATCATAAATCTATCATTAGCAAATTATAAATCACATTACAATGATTCATTCTCTTTCCTAACTATTAAAACAAGTATTAAAACGCGATGTTACCCCTAGAACGATTTAAACAAGGCTAATTGTAAGGCGAATCACTCAAATTTTGCCTAAAAATATCACACCGCTTTATAATTTGTGTGTACATGTAGGTGTACTACAATTAATACTAAAAGAAATCCTAAAGCTTAAGAAAAATAGTTCTCATGTGTACTCCCGAATTTACGAGGTATTGACCTTAAACCAACAATAATAAATGTTTCCAAATAACTGACAACTATCATGAGACATTTCAGCATCTCTAACAATTTAGAAGCCCCCCCCCCCAGGCAATGCAGTTTCAAAAAAGCCCAGGCTAGATAGGGTTAAGAAGGCAAACGTGTCCAAGGCCAAGACGAGATCACTACAACTAGCTAATCCCTTTGGATACCTTCAGAGCTCTCTCCAAGTCTTACCAATACCAGGCCAAGTCTTGATTTGAAACACTTATTTTGTCTAATTGATTTTTGTCTTAAGGGGTGATACTCCCTACTCCAAATTTCTTTTGTTATATCTTTTAACCCTTGCCTGCTATCAGAAAACACATGGGTACCTTTTTATATGTTTTGCTAAAGAAATAAGTTATTTACTGTTAGCTCATAGTTATACCTGAAACAATTTTGCAGTCATGTCAGCAAACTTGTAAATGTGAGGATTGTTTGTCTGCTGTTGACTGCTTTTTTACATCACTATCAGAAGCTTAATTAAAAAATGCTGTATTTTTTTTTACTACTTGTGTTCACACATAGGCTACCATGACAAGGCAAGCTACGCCATTCCCAGCTACTACAACCCAGTCCCCTGGATGCCTATCCACACCCCTAAAGAGCACACCAAGCCTGTTGCAAAGGGGAAGAAAGGGCGGGGTAAGAGGACCAATGCTACCTCATTAGGGAGGCAGATACAACAAGCGTTGTCACCCCCTCTGCTCTTCAGAGAACGGTCAGCAAAGGATAAGCTTGGGAAACTGAGGTGACATTAAGGGTAAAAGACAGTGAAGAACATTTCTTCTGTAAATCCTGTATTTGATAAAAAACCTTTAATCTGTTCTTAGCAACAGATTAAAGGGCGGGTGAAGAGGACCAATGCTACCTCATCAGGGAGGCAGATGCAACAAGCGTTATCACCCCCTCTGCTCTTCAGAGAACGGTCAGCACAAGAGAAGCTAGGGAAAGGGGGGTAGTTGAGGGGGGGGGGGATTTGTTTTGTTTAGTGCTCACTATCACCCCTGCACACTATCACCCCTGCACAATGCATTTTTTGTGACGTAGGGTCCTCACAACACAGATTTGTAATATAACCAAATTCAATGTAGTTTGCTCAGTATTGTGTGCGTCTGTAAAATGGCGCCTGTCTGGAATGCTCTCCAGGGAGTGAAAAATGTGCATACACTGTCTGCAGGCAAACCCGAATTCTATGACTGGGGCAGTAACATATATGTAAAGTGCTAGAGACATTGTCAATGTTTTAAGCACTACAGGGTATATAAACGCGGAATAGCATTATCAGATGAATTGATTGAATGCCAATAGCTGATTGACTGAAAAGTGTCTTGCTCCAAACCTGCCTAATTCATTTAATTTGCAATAAGAACATTTGATTTTCATGAAATACTTTAAAATTATTTATTTTCTCTTTAAAGATATTATCTCCCTTTTGCAGCCAACATCAATTCTTTTGCATTTGCAAATGTGATGAAAAACTAACAAATACGCCTCAAATGGCTCTAATTGCGCAATTTGACAGTTTATGCGCGATTTGAGAGCTATACACATCATTTTCAAGATTGCGCAATAAATAAAGATAAGAAACATAAATCGATGTCGCAAACAGGTAGAGGAGCTCAAGCGCAACATAATGATACTACTTAGGAGACCATACCATTCTTTTTAAGAAAGATATTTGCAAATGTGATGAAAAACTAAAAAAATGCTTCAAATGACTCTTTTATTGCGCAATATGACAGTATATACGCGATTTAATCGTTTTCAAGATTGCGCAATAAATAAAGATGGGAAACATAAACCGATGTCACGAACAGGTAGAGGAGCTCAAGCGCAAAATAATGAATACCACTTTGGACACCATACCATTCTTTTTAAAGGTTCTATGTCCCATTTGCAGGCCAAAAAAATGAAAAGGTTAAATTCCAACTGCATTTGAAAGATAATACTAATTTAGAACTTCCCTAAAAAAGGTGGGGCTTGAAAATGTCTTCAAGTGGGAAAATAACGACTATTAGTTGTCAAATCGACTTTAGGGCTATAGAGCCCAAAAGTAATAGTCTTGATTTTCAGACAATTGTACCGAATGGTCATACGTTTTATGCTGCGCAAAGATTCAATCAGTTTAATCTTGGCCATCACAAGAAGTGGGTTATTGATGTAGACAAATGCTCATGTACCCTTTACAACTCTTTTCATGTATGTTATTACCACCGAAGAAGAAAAGCCAGTCAGTCACTCAATAGTGTCTGACAGTGAAGTCTAGCAAGTAAACGGGTTTCCTTGCATAATTTGAATATGAGGACACTGCTAAGGTTTAAATTTCACAGATAGGACATACATGACATATTCATAATTCCTGTTAATTTCTACTGCATTTGATGTTGGCTGCAAAAGGGACATAGTACCTTTAAGAAAGATATTTGCAAATGTGATGAAAAACTAAAAACATCAAGATACACAACTAAATCAAGATACACAACAAAGAAGCATATTATATATGGGACACTCTCATATTTGTTTATGATTTCTCTTACGTGCACTAAACATCTAAAAAAAAAAGCACTAAACAGAAGCTGTATTACACTGCAACCCCAAATCATTGATTTTTCTCACATCCGGTGTTTCGCAAGTAGTTGCAATGGATTGCGTTTTTTTTTAAACGCTTGCTGGAGTTTCACTGATTTTTTGCTCTTGCGACTTTCCTTGCTTCAATGTTAAAGAATACAGGGCACCGACAAGTGGCGCATGCACACTATTCCTTTAAACAAAAAAAGGTTGGTATGAGCAAACTGTTATGTTTTTGCCAGTAGTGCTTGGTAGTCCAAACAATCAAGGATTTTTAAAATGTTTGGGATGTGTAAATGGGCCTAGATTTGATTGTAAATTGATAAGATTAGACTAAGTCTCAAGGGACTGTGACCAGTCCGCCAGTAATGTAACACATCCACTAGATATTTGGCCAACATGTTGAATGTGATAGTCCTTGCCCTTGCGTGAGAAGTAGCATCCCGATAGTGCGTATCGGGGGAAGCCACTCACTCAGTTTTTTTTGGCGCATGATCTAGTTTTACATAAATATGGAGTACTTCAGTCATTCTTAAACTACGTTTGACATCATTGTAATAAAAGTAACTTTGAATCATAGGAGGTACTTTAGGAAGAAGAACGTTCAAGTTTTATTTTAGTGAAGAATCAAACTGTCCGTACTGCCGGCCTGATCGTCAAGTCATAGTTTTGTTTGATACAAAATTCTGATTTATTTTCCTCACCTAATGTTATTTCAATCTGTTCTTTATTGTAGACTTTTATTTTTCCTCCCCCCCCCCCCCATAACTTAAAAAAATAATTCTTTCTTATGTTATTTATACTATAGTCCTCTTGTTTATTTATATTTTTTGATGTACATGCATTTTCTACAACTTCCTCTTATACGTTTTTCTTCATGTTTCTCCTCTCCGTTTTCCAGACTTCATGTTATATTCTGTTTTCTTATTTTTACTGCCCAAGCAATCTTATCAAATTAACTATATATACATGTATTTCAATATTGTCAAATTAATTGTAACTGTATTTTATGTTTGAAATATGCAATGAGTGTTTTGTTTGCACACATGATCAATTCAGCCATTGGGCTGCGACACATGTTTTTTTAATAAACCTTGATTCAATTCAATTCAATTGTATGTCATCATTTTTGGCAAGGAAATGAGACATAAGGACAGATTCTTGAACTAAATAGGATATCTGTGTGTGTGCGTATGTGTGAAAGAAAGAGAGAGAGAGAGAAAGAAAGGATGTGTGTGTGTGTGAGAGAGAGAGAGAGAGAGAGAGACAGAAAGAGAGAGCAGAGGGATAATGAGATATAACAAGAAATATATTAGGAAATAATTTGATGAAAACAAGAGAGCTCATAGGAAAGTGAAAAGTATGCCGCAGACCTGCCGCAGACTTTTAGTCTGCGGCAAAGAGTATGCCGAAGTATGCGGCAGAAAGAAATTTTGCTGCAGACTTGCCACATACCAGTATGCCACAGGAACAGTCTGCGGCAGATCTGCGGCAGGATGAAATTTTGCTGCAGACTTGCCGCATACTAGTATGCCACAGGAACAGTCTGCGGCAGATCTGCGGCAGGATGAAACTTTGCTCCAGACTTGCCGCATACTAGTATGCCACAGGAACAGTCTGCGGCAGATCTGCGGCAGGATGAGACTTTGCTCCAGACTTGCCGCATACCAGTACGCCACAGGAACAGTCTGCGGCAGGTCTGCCACAGGAAATCCCATTAAAGTCTAATAGGGCCAATTGAAACCAATCATCTCATGCATATTCATTATTACTTTACACGTGTGACAGAAAAATACATTTATCATGATTTGTTAAGCAAATTAAGACAATGCACATCATTTTTGTGATTTCTATTTTCCTTTTGCCATTATTAACCAATAGATTATTTTGTCTGATCATGTTACAATTACATTCACGTTTAAGCAATAGATATATTGATTACTAACCAAGAAACTATGATTACTAACCAAGAAACAATATACATATTTAGTATATATACATGTGTACGAGCCTGTGTCACTCTAAATGTTACTCTGGAATACACTTCAAATGATCAATGTGATGAAGTATACAATTGAGAATAGAATATACCTAATTGGTAATATCGATATATATTGGTATTACCTAATTGGTAATATCGATATTGCCAATATCGATATCAATCAGTTTATCACTGGTTCTTCTACATGCATACTTTATTGCCACGTACTGGATATGAAAGAGTATGCGGCAGGTCTATATGAGATATGAATATTCATGACGAAGAGTCTGCGGCAGACCTGCCGCAGACTCTTCATCATACTGAAAGAGTATGCGGTAGGTCTGCATCATACTGAAAGAGTATGCGGCAAGTCTGCAGCAAGTCTGCGGCAAGTCTGCGGCAAAACTAATTTGCATGTGAAAAAGATGACTGTCTGCGGCAGGTCTGCTGCAGATCTGCGGCAAGTCTGCCGCAGGAGTATGCGGCAGGCTCATTTCTTTCCTATGGGAGATAGAGAGAGAGAGGGAGGGATCAGTGCATTATTTGTATAATATCGCTTTAGACCTTTGTTTGCATGTACTTGTACAAAGGTATTGCAAAATATCAGTGTACCGGTAAAATCAAATTGCGAAATTCCCTACATCTAAAAGTCAAACCCCAAATTGAGCGAGGTGGTTGTAGACCAGGGTGGGCAACCATATCAACTCAGGCCTAAGAAAATGTTATATTTTCTTCATACTCCTTGACTGTTGACCTCTAGATTGCAAGGTAAATAATTGGTGGTTGATTTGATACATGCTATGCACAAATTATTTGTTTCCAACGTGATTGTTACACTTTGAAATGATTATCGACCCAGGTGGGTGTTTCACAAAGATCTTAAGTTGAACTTGTCTCTAAGTTGGACTTAAAAATTATGGAAAGCCGTTAGCATCTTTGAAAATAGAAATTTCAATCTATAGAAAACTTATTCTATAGAATTCTATAGAGGAAACCGCTTTCTATAGAGAATCCTTAAAAGTTCTATAGAGAATCTGGAATGTTATAGAGTTCTATAGAACTCTATAAAGCGTTCTATAGAATTCTATACAACTTTTTTGTAAGGGCAGAGCTAACCACCTGTACACAATAGACCATTGGTTTGGTTTGGTTTTATTTTCCGTATAAAAAATCAAATACATACAAGAATACAATTATTTACAATTAATACAAATCAAGAATTAAAAACGGCTGGAAAGTTCTATTCAGAGCCATAATTATTAAAATGGCTCTGTTCTTCCTAGAGGTCCAGAAATAATCAAACATAGAAATAAAACACAAAATATTACAAAAATATAACATTACAAACGCACTATCTACAACCCCCCCCCCCCCAACCCTCTATAACACATTATGAATACGACTGTTACCATCCCTCCCCCCCCCCCTCCTCGTTTACACCAAAAGTTTATACATCCGAAATCTAGTATCCATTCTTTTAGGCCCTGCCGAAATAGATCGAGTGTGTTCGGTCTACGTGAGTTAATCGGTAGTTCATTATACAATTTAGATCCGCGATACAAGAATGTTCGTTTTCAATAATTATTTTTAGGTTTGGGCAAGACTAAGTTATCGACATGTCTTAGGGCATAATTGGTTTCTTTGTAAAAGAGATTATTCTGCATAATAATCTGGAGTTAAATTGTGGAAAAACCATTCCAAGGAGATCTATAAAAAAAAACATAGTTCTCATTACTAAATGAAAAACATTGCTTTTGGTTCTTCATTTGACTCTCTTCCTTTCTTTAATTAAACCATGGACCTATTACCGATGGACATTTAACGTGATTCTTTCTTTGATGCAATGATAGTCACCGCTTTCTGATTATGTGCATCTTAATGAGAACATTCAGCTGTTTTAACAATAACGACTGCGTAAGCATTTTCGGGCATTGACAAAGGAGCAGTTTCCCTCTCTTGGGCTTTGTTTGGATGGTGTGCTCTGTAAGAGTATGTCTTCAATAAAAACATCCCCAATGGGGAGCAGCAAAGTTGAAAAGTAGACGATTTGGGCGATATGAAATTTATTATTACTGATTTTCACACTTTTGCACGCACCAATGACCTTATAAAACAATTAGAAGGCCATGATCTTTATCAGCCCTGTGCGTTGTAATTCTGGAATAGTATGAGGAAATTTGGGGAAACGGGATTTTAAATCACAAACAATCCAAACAAAACCTATCTGGTAATATCAACATGTTTTTCAAATATAGAACACAGTACACGGAACAACAATTTCCAATTATTAACCAGAACTGCATGCACATCGATTTCCCATGATTTAAGCGTTCTATTATCTTCTGCGCATGTAGATTAACATGTTTAAAATCACTATCTTGATTCTGTCCCGGCTTATCGGCGGTGACCATCATGAGATCAAAGTAAAGAAACATGTACGGAATGTTATTGAGACGACATTGACGGAGACAATTACAATGAATTCGTTGAAACGATGAATGTCCATTCGTAATAGGTCCATGATTAAACCAACTGAATCCTCTCTGCGGGAAACTCAATTCAATGAAACATAATATCACTGATGCAAAATTTGGTTCTCAAAATGACAGAAAATATCCACTCCAGACCTGATCTCATACAAACTGTCTGTTTCTTAAAAACATAATATAAAACTTACGTTCCAACTACCAAACAACAAACTTCCATTATCTCCTTCTTCACCCAGATATACTTATTATACCAGATACGCTCTAAAATATATAAGCATAATATTCCCCTTTAATAGGCCCTGACCAGCGCACTGTTTTTTTCTCAAAAACTATGCAGTCTTAGAAGGTGCATTATTATTGGAAGGGTGTTATAAACAAAACTTCAAACTTAATAACATTCTAACCTTCAAAAACACGTTAACTATCTTATGCCTGTTATGTTTGACTACAATACATAGACCTACATCAGCGTTCTTTCTCCAAATATGAAAAATGTTTTAGGAAATATCAGGAAATAAAATGAGTGAAAAACAAACAAATAAAGATATAATGACGCGAATTTTAAAAAGGGTGAACGGAAACAAAATATAAGTCATACTAATGTCCGAAAATCTTTCTCCTTTTCTCCGATCTCATCACGAATTCGACACAGATAGAGTTCATCTATGTTTACACTATCCAGGATTGTCTGATGTGCATTAATTGCAGATTGCTACTTTTGCGCTTCGCGCTTAACATTTAGCTCGTTGCTTTATAACGCTGCGTCTTTGCATTTGGCGCACTGCATTTCTATGATACTGTTGATTGAACAAATTTAATAATTTCATCAATTCCTGATGAAGCCGTATGAGCGAGAATTCAATTTATTCTCGTCTCATATTGTCTCATTTACTTCGTATATATGTGTAGCCGGTACGCTCATTTGGGCAACTAATTTGATCTAAAGGGGCGCTAGAGCCATAGAAGAGCCGGGCTGGGTTCATAGAGATATATACTTAATAAGGCTGGCTGGGTTGTAGGTAGGCACTTTTTAGGCGACTTTGACGTGAGGCGGAAGTGAATTCACAGTAAAGGTCACGCGAGGCAAATGTTACTGATGGTCACACACACTCATCTCACTCTACGTTCGCCACATAGTAAATCCAACATGACTCTGTCTTTGTTTGCATAATTTAATTGCTTTAAATTCTATATTCTAAAGAAGGCCCTATTATTTTCATTAAATTCGGGTTGCGCGCAATAATTACTCTTGCTAAATAAAATTCAACGTTGATTGTTTTAATTCAGTATATGACACCTCATTCTACGTAACTCCGGGAAGCTCCAACACCGGCGCCGGTATTGGAGCTTCCCGGAGTTACATTCTACGTTCGCCTCACCTCACTGTACGTTCGTACATACATCCCCCCCCCCCCACTCCGAGAACGGACGGACCCCATGCGTGTTGCCAAAATGTCCTTTTCGTAACAAAAGAAAAAGGTCGACCCGTATTTACACACCGGACTTTTGCTGAAAGGGGGGGGGGGGGAGGGCTGCTGAAAAAGGCTCGTATAGAAAAGAAAAAGGTCGAGCCGTATTGACTTTACACACCGGACTTTTGCTGAAAAGGGGGGGGGGGGTCGGTTGGAACCCGCATATGCGTACCCTAAATAACACTGAGTGGGGGGGGGGGGGGGGCGGGCATACATCCAACATGATTTAGTTTGCCTTGAATTGTTTTGAATTCTATAGTCGCCGATTAATAGGCCTATAGGAATACAATTATTGTGCAAAATCTCATGTTAAAACCTAAACACAGAAGTCATTAAGGGAAAAGAAACATAAATGTTTTAATTCACTGTATAGGCCTATACACCTCATTCTACGTTCGCCTCACCTCACTGTACTTTCGCCACATAATTCTCTCTCAAATCCAACATGACTTTGTTTGCATTGAATTGTTTTGAATTCTATAGTCGCCGATTAATAGGCCTATATGAATATAATTATTGTGCAAAATCTCATGTTAAAACCTAAACACAGAAATCATTAAGGGAAAAGAAACATAAATGTTTGAATTCGCTGTATAGGCCTATACACCTCACTCTACGTTCACCTCACCTCACTGTACTTTCGCCACATAATTCTCTCTCTCAAATCCAACATGACTTTGTTTGCATTGAATTGTTTTGAATTATATAGTCTAGATTAATAGGTCTATATGAATATATTAATTGTGTCGAATCTCATATTAGAACCTAAATATACTGAAGTAGATGTTTAAATTTACTAAAGGCCTGTGACCTCACTCTACGTCCCGCCCCCCCCCCCCCCACTCCGAGAACGGACGGACCCCATGCGTGTTGCCAAAATGTCCTTTTCGTAACAAAAGAAAAAGGTCGACCCGTATTGACTTTACACACCGGACTTTTGCTGAAAAGTGGGGGGGGGGGGGGGGGGGGGGGGGGGTGCTGAAAAAGGCTCGTATACAAAAGAAAAAGGGCGAGCCGTATTGACTTTACAAACCGGACCGGGGGGTCGGTTGGAACACGCATATGCGTACCCTGGTTCTAGGACAATTACCCCCTGGGCAATCACCCCCCGGAAAATTACCCCCCGGAAAACTACCCCCCAAGGACAATTACCCCCCGGAAAATTACCCCCCGGAGAATTACCCCCTGAGGACAATAACCCCCTAAGGACAATTACCCCCCGGAAATTTACCCCCCGGAGAATTACCCCCCGAGGACAATTACCCCCCAAGGACAATTACCCCCCGGAAATTTACCCCCCGGAAAACTACCCCCCGAGGACAACTACCCCCGAGGACAATTACCCCCCGAGGACAATTACCCCCCGAGGACAATTACCCCCCCAAGGACAATTACCCCCCGGAAAACTACCCCCCGAGGACAACTACCCCCGAGGACAATTACCCCCCGAGGACAATTACCCCCCAAGGACAATTACCCCCCGGAAAACAACCCCCCGAGGACAATTACCCCCCGGAAAACTACCCCCTGAGGAATTACCCCCCGAGGACAATTACCCGCCCCCATGGATAACTACGCCTGAGGACAACTACCCCCCCCCCCCCGAAGACAATCAGGATTCAATAGCAAAAGACGATTTGACACATTGAGAGATGTTGTGAAGGCTACGAGCCCATAAAATCCCGTGCATGAACCCACATTCGTTCAAATACTTGCGCGTGATGTTCCTCTCATTACTACACATTTTTCTTTAACTATAATGTATGCAACACCACTGTGGTTGCTGTTTTCTACGAAGGATTTCTCTTGAGCAGCGTTATTTCAAATTTTTGTTAGACACAGTGCCCTCTTAAGAAATGAAAAGTTTCGCCCAATCTTAAATTCTTCACAAACTATTTATTTTGCATCACTCTGGCATTCGTCAAGAGCTATGTACACACGTATGGGCACATTTGTTTCTTGATTTAGTGAACGAGCAAGAAAAAAAAGGACAAGACACACTTATTTTCTTTTAATATGGCACCGTACATACCATATATTTAACTTGAAGGCAATTTTTATTTCAAAATAAATTACAGTACAAGAAAACATATTTGAGTTCACCATGACAACAGAAATATATATATATATATAAATATATATATTACATTACATTTATAAACATGAAGAGAACCTTTAGTTTGGAATAGATCGTGGATGAGGGCCTATTATGCATACAAAGACAAATATACTATCAGCTGATTAGAAAAGTTACAGAGGATGCATAAATAATGAAATCTTACATCCTAATTTCTTTGTTGGGCCATTTTGGGGGAGACTAGCTGTAACGCGTACTCATCTGCGCGCAATGTATTGTTAAATTTCTAAGAAATGTAAATTCCGTACTTTGATTTGATACATGCGTCTTCTGGCAATTGAATTCGATTTGATACATGCGTCTTCTGGCAATTGAATTCGATTTGATACATGCGTCTTCTGGCAATTGAATTTGATTCAATACTCGTGGCATATTAAGTCAAACTTCACAAAGATGGAATGGATACAGAGCGAGAGGGGTGGGCGAAAGCTCCTCCTGGGAGGATACATGTACGTCAAGCAAAAAGATTTGGCAGATGGGTACGAGGGCTTTGAATGTGAGCTACGAAGGAACACACGACAATGCAGAGCAAAAATTAAGGTAAGCATCAAACGTACCAACATATTGTGGAGTGAATGACTTGTACCAACCGTTTATTACAATACATAAGTCCCAGAGCCTATTGGTTCTACGCCACAGCCCATTGTCTAATATATTACCAATATGAAAATGATTAAGGTTGAACAGAGCCTAACAATTCATATAATAATTTCAATTTTTTTTAAATGGACACTAGCATAGCATAAATTTAAGTTAAAACTTTAGACGCACGGCTTCCTAGGACCAGTGATCTCTTTGGTCAATATAATTAATGGACAGTCGGCTCAAAAGGGTTGTTCCCCTAAACAGCTCCTTATAAATTCTTAACTGCAAACGTTTAAACGAATTCACCGAGACACAACTGTGTCCGTTTTTCTTACGTAACGTTTCCATAAAAATCAGAGGTCGCCATTGAGTCATAATTGACTCAACACACCTTAACCCTAATAAGGCCGGGGTGGCAGAGGGGGCACGTCCCCCCCCCCCCCCGGCCGCTCAAAAATATGTTAAAATCAGCCCTAAATTCGCCAAAATGTACTGAAAAACAGGGACGTGCCCCACGGGCCCCAAAATTCAATAATTGTTTGTAATAAAAAAAAATATAAATTTAAAAAAAAAATATATATATATATATATATATACAAATGCCTGACCTAAAAAGTTGACTCCAACGAAACAAAATGTCAAATTTACAATTTTCGTGACCAAAAAAAAAAGTGTCCGCTTACCAAACCCCCCCCCCCCCGCTTTTTCTGCGATTTTTATGGGACCAAAAAAAAGTGGGGTCCGCTTACCACCCCCCCCCCCCGCTTATTCAGCAATTTTTATGGGACCCAAAAAAAAGTTATCTCCGCTTACCCCCCCCCCCCCCCCCCCCCCCCGTTTATTCAGCGGCTGGCTGAGTCGTTGCGTTTTGGGGGACTAAAACAAAAATATTTATATGTTCTCTTACCCCCCCCCCCCGTGTGCCCCCCATATACGCACCCGGGAAGAAATTCCTGGATCCGCCCCTGGGCATTATGCCCCCCCCCCCTCCACGATTTTCTAATTGTTCGGGAACGCATATGGATGGCGCCCCGACGCTCGCTGACCTTTTTCTTTCGAGTCTTGCGCATCTTTAAAAGAATGTTTTTGAAAATCAGATGCTTAAATATGAATAATATATGATTTATGGGTAAAATGTGATTTATGACCTTATTTGCATAAATTACCATAAATATGCAAATAAGTGAATTTTTCAAAAATTATCATAGTATTGTATAATACACTTCACTTGACATGCGTGCAAATTTTCGCGGAGATCGGCCGTTTCACGGCAGCGATCTTAAGGGGGCATAATCACCCCCCCCCCCCCCCGGCCGTATTAAGAACTCAAAAAGTGATTCGGTAACATTGTTGAAGGTTGATTAAAAAACGGTGTAATTTTTGTATGAAATCTTACTTATTATATTCCTTTTACTGTACTTACAGGCAAAAAATCCTGAGAAAATTCTTAAACCACAAATAAATGCACGGTTTTCTTTGAAGCGGACACTGAGTAACACCCTTTAACAGTGATTAACAGTAAATTCTCCCAACCATTTTTGAATTTTCCAAACCGTTTTTCCATGAAAATAAGACATAAGACAGGCTTTTTAAAATCTTTCAACACTAAAATGTCTGGAATGTTATGAAGAGCCAGTTTGTTGCAATCGTCACAAGACGATGTACTTTCACCTGAAATGTAATTAAATTGTGATAATATAGTTGGGAGAATTAAGGAATCGATCAGTGAGATCAGTTTTTCCCAATGGTTATCATTAATAATGGTCCGTTTTCACTCAAACTTTCAGATTATCTTTAATTGTACATCTAGCAATGAAGTCACTGCCTTAGCACCATTTTCTCTCATATAAACAATGTTACCAAGTCCCTTTAAAGACCGAAAAATAAATGATTCGCAAGATCAATGTCATTGCTGTAGCTAAGGACAGCCAAATTGATGATTTTCCGCACTATATGCAAACATCACACTCGGACCTCCTTGCAGTGGTATTTTCAGAGGAGGGGAGGGGGTGGGCTGGCATTGCCTACCATAAGCACAAGGTAAAGGGGATAAAATAAGAATCACAGTTTAAACTTCATGAAATTAGTGTCGTTGCTTCAGTTCATAGAGGAACCGTAAGCTTATTAATGATCTACTGAGATCGTAATCAATTACTTAACGGTTATAGCTGAGCACAAGATTAAACAAATAACCACATTAAAATATTACTTAAAATTTGGAGACCGGCCTAAAACGCAAACATTTTCCGTAATATGCGTTGCCACCCTACTTTTCAGTGACGATGTTTCCATCATTTCATGGTTGACTGAGCACAAACAGAGGAAAAAAATTATTAAGTCATAAAGGTATTTCTTTACTTCTTGTTGTTGAAAGAAACTAAAGACGGCAAGCTAGTCAGTTACTTTCCCCCACATCGTATTTATTAGGTTATGCTTGAGTGAGCACAAATTAAAGATAGAATACAAAAAATGCAATGTCATATTAAACAATAAAGGACATCAATTTGTTTATGAATAGCGACCCCGATTTCGTATTATGAATAGCGGTCCTTAAGAGTAATGACCCCTAGATGTGAATTATGAATAGCGACCCTTATCTCACTTTATGAATAGCGGTCCTCAAGAATAACAGTCCTCACGCTTTTGTGAATAGCGGCCCTCTTTCCGTTTTATGAATAGCGGTTCTTCACGTATCGGAAGTTCCACGTAATAAATCGCGGTCCTTATGACTAGTGAGGTTACACTCCGAGCCAGCATGTTTATTAAGGGAAAAACATACAATCACACAAACACACAAACAAGAGAGGAATAGCCACATTTCAAAGGTGATGTAAATGAGTACCTGGTAGGAATTAATTCGTTGAAATGCTAGAGCGCCGCAGTGGCCGCCTTGCTAAAGCAAGGGTAATAATCGGGGCAGCGCCAGGAGCGTCACAACGTGACAGACATGTCCGCTATATAAGAAGCCACCATTATTAATATTATTATGAAGTAATGGATGGAGGTCAACGACCTTCTGAAAAACATTGTTCTACAATAAAGGAAGCAATGACATACATTTTAGGAATAAACATGGTTATTTTGTCTTTAATTTGTGCACAGTCAAACATGACATATAGGTCCAATATGATAAAAGTAACTGACAAGATATACCAAGTTTAATTTCTGTCAATATTAAATGAAATAGAGATATTAAGATTTGTTTTTGTTGTTAATGTTATTTTTTGTTCATTTTCGCTGACCTGAAGTTAGAATTGTGATTATTTTGTTCTTTAACTTGTGATCAGTCATCCATGAACTAACGGATGTTAAGCAGGGTAACAGGAGGTCATCGATGGGTGTGCATGGTGTTCGCATTCAGAGCTGACAAATCATCAATTTGACAGTCTCACTACAATTAAGCAAAGGCATTAATGTAGCTAATTTTCCAAATTTTGTCTTTAAAGATAGTATCACACATTTGCAAGCCCTCAAAATCTCGATGAGATTTTTTCTGCAGATGGCTTGTGATATGCAATACAATTTTTGAACAATACTCTGAAAGATTTAGAGCTCAACCCCTTCCAGTTATGAAGTAGGAAACAAAAATGTAATCAATTATTTTCTTTTATTTTCCTCATTTTCTATTACGGCGTCTACCAGACGCTTTAAGAAGGAAAATAATAAAATTGTCATTAATAATATTTTCAGTAATAATAATGACATTACATTATCGATAACATTGTGGCGTATCCGCACTCCTCTCCAATTTGCTCAGAAAATGTAATCAACTTAATTCTCTTCGTTGTTGATGACGGAATAGATTTCTTCCATACAAGGATTGGATAGGAAAACACATTTGAAATAGTATATTTAGGGTGCATGTATAACTGAAAATTTTGTCTAAGGAAAATAAAGATTTCTGATTTTTAGTACAGAGTAGAAGGGAGGGGAGTTTGCAACTTAAACAAAATAAAATCTTATCTTTAATCGGAATTCATTTAAACTTTCACCGACCCATTCCTCTCATTTACCTGCTTGATTAAGTATGACTGGCTACTTCTGGTTTCCACACAAATATTTCTGTAAAAGCACAGATACAATCCTGTTAAAGGTACTATTCCCATTTGCAGGCCAAAAAATGAAAAGGTTAAGTTCCAACGGCATTTGAAAGATAATACTAATTTAGAACTCTCCTAAAAAACGGGGGTTTGAAAATGTCTTTAAGTGGGAAAATAACAAATATTAGTTGTCGAATCGACTTAAGAGCTATAGAGCCAGTAAGTAACAGTCTGATTTTCAGACCATTGTACCGAATGGTCGTACGTTTTAAGCTGCGCAGTGATTCAATCAGTTTAATTTGGCCATTACAAGAAGTGGGTTATTGATGTAGGCAAATGCTTATGTACCCTTTACAGCTCATTTTATATATGTTATTACCAAAGAAGAAAAAAGGCCAGTCAGTCACTCAATAGTGTCTGACGGTGAAGTCTAGCAAGTAAACGGGTTTCCTTGCATAATTTGAATATTAGGACACTGCTAACGTTTATATTTCACAGATAGGACATACATGACATATTCATAATTCCTACAAAGTTCGACAGCATTAGATGTTTGCTGCAAAAGGGACATAGTATCTTTACGGTTCAAAGGAAATCCAACCCTTGTAACAATTCCATTGCTTTTAAGGAATGAAAGCAGATACATCAGAGAAACAGAATGGCAAAAGTTTGGAATAAATCGGACCAATGATAAGAAAATAATGAATGTTTGATATATGAGATCACTATATACATCCATGCAAATCTCAAATTGGCAATTCTCTCATTGGATTGTGCCGTAGTGACAAATAACCCTTCGTTTGTCTTGTACACAAATATGAAGATTTTTTTTTCTTCTCCCAAGCGCCTTCACCCTTGGGGCACTACTTAAAATATAATATGGAGAGTATATTATTACAGGTTCTCTAGAAATAATTGTTTGTGTGTAGGAACAAACGGGAAAGGGAGTGTCGTGGTCGAGTGGTTTAAGGCGCTTGACTTGGAGATGCGAAGGTCGAGGGTTCGAATCCCGACACGGCACTAATATCCTTTGGCAAGATATTAACCTGCACTTGCTACTCTCCACCCAGGTGTTAAATGGGTACCCGGTAGGATGCGACCGTCATTGTTGGTCAAACAGTTTTTGAGCGTCATGTAACGCCTGGCTGGAATGCTCCCCAGGGAGTGGAGATTGTGCACACATTGTGTGCGGGTAAGCACTGAATCCAATGACCGGGGTAATAATATATTTGTAAAGCGCTTAGAGACATTTGTATTTAGCGCTATATAAATTAAATTTATTATATTATTATATTATAAAGTTGTCTGCCGCTACTTTATACAGAAAATACCGATTCGGCTAATTCGAAGAGCCCTACCTATATTTTTTTTTTTATTATTATTTATTCATGGTTAAAAACAAATACAACTTGTGCCCGCATTCAGCAAAAGCTGTTTTTTCAGCGAGGCAGTGATTACATAAAATTCGAATAAAATTTAAAACAATGAAAATATAATTCACAAACAAATATGAAAGTTATAATAAATGAACATATTTACAGAAATTTAACTACAAAATCAAATCATAGTGACAAAGGGGAAAAAACCCAAAACAAACACAAAACAATCAAATAAACAATTAAGTTTGTATCTACGGGATGAAAGTGATTCTAACTTTCAAAAATTCAAACTTTGTTCAACACGCTTCACTAATTTTTCAGGTTTAGTCTTGAGAAGTTAACTATCAATGTTGGACTCCCCGTTAACAAAAAAATCACAAGGAGTTGCTTTTTAGGAAACTTAATTCGTTGTGTTGAGATCAACGTACATGTAGCTATTTAGGGTGAATTGCCGTTTGGTTAACAACCAGCCAGTCTACTATCCACTTTGTCCCATAATAGTTTCGTCTACTTATCGTTAGATCTAGCGGCCATCTAGGACGACAGTCATTCGGTCTAATCCCCAATTAATCTATTACCATTTGGTCTATTATTCATTTTGTCTGATTCCTAGTTTTCTAAATGCCCATTTCGTCTACCATCCATAATGCCTAATAATTAGTGGATGATTAATAGCCTATATATATGGGAATAATGTTTTATCTCTCTCAATCTCTCTCTCTCTCTCTCTCCCCACACTTCCTCTCTCTCTCTCTTTTTCTTTTTCTCTAATAGGTCATGGGTGATAACCAATTCCGCGATAGAACGGAGCATAACCATCCGCCTAACCATGGTAGAAGCAATGCTACGAAGGTTAAAGCAGCAACGAAGAGAAGGGCCACTGAGTCCAATGAAAGACCACAACAGGTGCTTATGGCGACACTATGCGAGGTAACAGAGGAAGGGCGGGCAGCGCTACCATCACTAAACAACATGAGGAGGAATATCCGGAGACAGCGCCAAGAGAACCCAAACGCCCTCCCCATTCCCATGACTGTGGAAGATCTGGAAATCCCTGTAGATCAACGATTGACGCTGGGTGGAGAGCTTTTCCTTTATCACGACTCTGGAAGAAACGACCCTCGCCGGATTTTAGTGTTTACTACGGAAAGGAACCTTCAGGTAAGAACAAGTGTTGGGGTTCATTGCCATTTGGCCTTCTACGGTTCCGCAATTTTAGGAAGTGCTGCAAAAGCATACGTATTGAGTAAAAAAGATTTCAGGATTCATTAGAATGAATTGAAATTGTGAGGTCATCATAAAGATATCCAAATACTTCCTATAAAATTGAAATTGAAATTAAATTAAAATTGGTTATTATTCTCGACAAAGTACAGGATCGGTTCTAGAACAATTCCCCTGAGGGGGTATTGTTCTGATACGACATGATCTCCTATTTCGATTATGTTTTTTAATTATCATGCTATGATAATTAAAAAACAGTAAGTAAGTAAATAAAATAGCTTGGAAATAATACATACAATTTTGCAAGTGAAACAGTTTGTTTGTTTGAAATATATAATATTCGATGCAAATGTATTCATTCTGTTTTGCTACTAGTTGCTGTCAACGTCTGAAAGTTGGTTCGCTGATGGCACGTTCAAGGTAGTGCCGACCATCTTCTTCCAGTTGTGGACAATCCACGCCACATATGAGGGACATGTGGTGCCTTTGGTTTATTGCCTCATGCTAAATAAGGACCAGGCGTCATATGCAAGGGTACTAGCAGCACTACAGGAGGGAAGGGCGTTCTACCCAACCAGAATCATGATCGACTACGAATTTGCAGCGAAGAACGCATTTTCCCAGGCATTTCCAAATGCTCACGTTCAAGGATGTCTTTTTCATCTCTGTCAGAGGATACATGAACGGGTATGGTTATATTTATATATTGACAGTTGATCCCTTTTTTTTACCCGCCATTTATTGATCAAATAGTACATTCAAGGCTCATGGCTAAAAAAAAAAAAAATAGTGATACAAATATTAGGTAGAGTTTGAAATTTGAGTAAGTGGACTTGCAAGCCATGATAAATGCTGAGGAGAGAGGGGGGGGGGGGGAGGACTCTAATAAATATTTTTTCTTTTAATCATCCTTTCAAGCCCAGTAACAAAAACTTTATATGATGATTAGAGGGTAGGGGGCTAGGGGCTATATCTCTTTTCGATTGTGCCTAAAACTGACCTGGAAAAAACACGGACCTCTAATCGCCAGGGGAGGGGGAGGGGGGAATATAATCGATAGTTATACTGAAAATTGGTAGGCCACAAGGAAGCTGAGTAGGATACAAGCATGTTATTTTCTCCTATAGGAAACGCTCATTGCGTATAGTCAGGCAAGGGAGAAAATTTCGGGCAGCCCTGGCGGATTCGGGCGAAAAAATAGGGGACAGCGGTTTGTTCCTCCCCCCTCCCCCACACTAAATGAACAGTTACCAATATCTATGCATTTTGCTCAATGGGTAGACAACAAACAATATTTCTGAAGTGTGAAAGGGCTGGTACATGTACTGTTATGAGTTTTATATTATTATTTTTAGATCAAGCAAGAAGGGCTGCAGGTGCTCTACAACGAGGATGAGGAGATCCGGACACAGGCGAGAATGATAGGAGCGATTGCATTTGTGCCAGTGGAAGACACCGTGGAGGCGTTTGAAGCCTTGGCAGGCATTGCAAGGGCAGAGCTGCAACCTGTCCTCAATTATTTTGAGGATACTTATGTGGGTCGACCTCAAAGAGCCGCGGGACATGGTCGCCAGGCAGCGAGGTTCCCGCCCATAATGTGGAACATGTTCAATGCGACACTGCAGGGGGAATTTCGCACGAACAATCATGTGGAGGGCTGGCACCGAAGGTTCCAGATCGGCGTCGGTGCCGACCACCCCTCGTTTTGGCAGTTTTTGACCTGCCTAAAACGGGAACATGCCATGAACGAAGTAACGATCGGACAAGCGCAAGCTGGAATGGCGCCTCCCGCACGTAGGAGAGTGTACCAAGATACCAATCTCCGGCTCATCAGGCTCGTTACTAATTACCATGGGAGAGACATTGTAGATTTTTTGAGGGGCGTGTCCCATAATCTTCACTAACGATCAGTCACCTATGCTATTGTACAGTTTTTGATCAGTCCAGTTGAATTGTTTTAACATGCAGGACCTCCCATTTACTTGGCATTACATTATATGGGATGTTTTGTTTTACATTAAGAGATGCGTATATACATTGTTGAATACAGAATGATATCATTTGATATCTTCTTTTTGTATGCATTTGATCGTTTTCAGGATAAAAGTTTCTATTTTTTTTAATTCTCTTTTTTACTGTTTCATGTTTATATGATAAGCATGATTAGCATCGGGCAAGCGCAAGCTGGAATGGCGCCTCCCGCACGTAGGAGAGTGTACCAAGATACCAATCTCCGGCTCATCAGGCTCGTTACTAATTACCATGGGAGAGACATTGTAGATTTTTTAAGGGGCGTGTCCCATAATCTTCACTAACGATCAGTCACCTATGCTATTGTACAGTTTTTGATCAGTCCAGGTGAATTGTTTTAACATGCAGGACCTCCCATTTACTTGGCATTACATTATATGGGATTTTTTGTTTTACATTAAGAGATGTGTTACGTATATACATTGTTGAATACAGAATGATATCATTTGATATCTTCTTTTTTTATGCATTTGATTGTTTTCAGGATAAAAGTTTCTAGTTTTTTTTTAATTCTCTTTTTTTACTGTTTCATGTTTATATGATAAGCATGATTGTGATGATCTTTGCCTCTGAGTTTTACTTTGGGATGTCAGAACTCTGTTTTTAGTACATGACTTTGATAAGTCTCCTCCTTTGGCTTCCTTCAAGACAGCAGGAAGGTGTTTTATTTGTGTTAATGTATCATTAATATTTATCATGTTTATCCTCTTCAAATATGGTTTTGGGCAATACGCGCCAAAATTTGCTGGACAGAAGTTTTATCGTTGCAGAAAAAGCTCTTCGTATTAATCGCAACTCTCAGTCGCGTTCCCTTACAAATCCTATATTCTTTGAAAATAGCATGTTAATAATTAATGACCTCTATCTCTTCCAGTTAGGCCAGTTTTTGTAAACTAACAGTAATGACATGCTCTCAATTTTATTCATGATGTGTTCCTCCCCCCACCCCCCTACAAAAAAATTACATTGTGGTGACTTTCATTTACCTCTTCTAAATACATTTATCTATGCCGGTCTCAAATTTTGGAACTTTTCACGTATTTGTACTAAACTTGCCCCATCACTCCATTCTTTTAAGCGAAAAGCGAACTCGTTTCTTTTACAATCTTATAAAACATATTAAATCTTCGCGTAGTCAACTCGTGTTTTACTCCCCCCCCCCCACAGATTGCGTTTGTGACCTTTCATATAATGTCAGTCTTCGTCCTATGTCTCTGTTGGATCATGTTCACCCAGACGTAGGAAAAGCATGTTGTTATACATTTTTAAATTATGAATTTATAATTCATAAGTTCTCATTTCACAATTTCAGATTAATCTGTTTTGTCTCCAAATGTATATGTATTTATTCCATATGTTTATTACTACCGTCTTTTGAGGGATCCACATTCTACAAATCCCGCTTCTCAGTAGATCCCTCCATTTTCACAGTTTTTTACTTTTAAACAAACGAAACATCACTTACAGCACATGTATACATTCTTTTGTAATTTAATTAATGATTTTCAAAATGATTTATGTAATTGATTTCTTGTCATAATTGTTTATATTGATAGTTCTGTTGGAAGTGAAAATAAAACTGAAAATTGAAACACTGTTTGAAATGCTATTAAAGTTATTCACTTGTGATAGAGAATGTAAATAGTTAAAATATTGCATCTTGTATGTCAATTTACCTCCGCAACATTTTAAGTTCAATACCTTTTCTTTTATATAAAGAATGATGACAAAACAAGAATAGGATTTTCACCACATTAACTCGTACACTAGAGAACCATAAACAGCTAAACAAAAAATAAATTTTAAGCACAGTCTAAGTAGACATATTCCTTTGCTTCCAGAATTCATGAAAAGTCAAAGTTTTAGGAGACTTGGAGGCCACACTGAATAACGTCAAACAAAGCTGGCGAGAAGCGAACATCGTCACTAATGCTTAAGCGTCCCTTCGATTTTTAATCTCTGTTAAACTCGTTAAGAACAAAAGCTTGTCAATTTCATATGGTTCATAGAATTACCATGACCACGTTTCAGGGGGAAAATAAAGTAAAAATGCCTGCTTTAACCTTTTCTGAGATGGAGGTAGTGGATGTTTCTATCTTTCATATGGCCTAGAGTTTGAAAAAGTTTCACCAATTAAAAATTAGAAAATTATGATTTGTTGAAGGTGCAAACACAAATATGCAACTCCGTGACGTGTCTTGTGAGCTCCCCGCCTATTTGCCCTGTGCTAGAAAACTTTAAAAAAATCTGTATTCTTCCTTAACAAATTTTCCACATACATTCACCCAAAATATAATTAAATATAATTATTGCAAATATGTTTATACACAACCCCTGTACGAAACAAATCTATGCCGTCATAAATAACTAAGAAAATGAAAGTTCATGACATTTTCTCTAAATAGCAATTTGAAGCGGAGCTCGCATTATACGTCACAGTGTTGCAAATTCCCTGGGTGTGATTGTCCTCGGAGGTAATGGTGTTTCGAGGGGGGGTAATTGTCCTCGGGGGGGGGGGTAGTTGTCCTCGGGGGGTAGTTTTCGGGGGGTAGTTGTCCTCGGGGGGTAATTGTCCTCGGGGGTAGTTGTCCATGGGGGGTAATTGTCCTGGGGGGTAGTTGTCCTCGGGGGTAGTTGTCCTCGGGGGGTAGTTGTCCTCGGGGGGTAATTGTCCTGGGGGGTAGTTGTCCTCGGGGGGTAGTTTTCCGGGGGGTACTTGTCCTCGGGGGGTAATTGTCCTCGGGGGTAGTTGTCCTCGGGGGGTAGTTTTCCGGGGGGTAAATTTCCGGGGGGTAATTGTCCTTGGGGGGTAATTGTCCTCGGGGGGTAATTCTCCGGGGGGTAATTTTCCGGGGGGTAATTGTCCATGGGGGGTAATTGTCCTCGGGGGGTAATTCTCCGGGGGGTAATTTTCCAGGGGGTAATTGTCCTTGGGGGGTAGTTTTCCGGGGGTAATTTTCCGGGGGGTGATTGCCCAGGGGGTAATTGTCCTGATACGGCGTACCCTAAATAACACTGAGTGGGGGGGGGGGGGGGCTCTACGTTCACCTAACCTCACTGAACGTTCGCCACATATTCTCTCTATTCATAATTCAATTCAATTTCAATGTATTCAGCCAATCATTAAAAACAATTTATGACACTGCCTTGTACTGGAACAATACTTATAATATGATGACAGGCTATGAACCCCGACGGAGAAGCAGAGCTTGTAAATGGGGCCCATTAACATAGAATTAAATACATACTGTATAATAAAAATATGCTATAACAAGCAAAACAAAAAAGAGATACATGTATATTCATACGTATTACAAAACAATTACAAATATCTTGCAAACACACTCAGCCATACTCACTCACACACACACACACACACACACACACACACATTCTCACATCAGGGCCTTTGTGGGGCACCTGATTGTGGGGTATTTCTGTGCGTTCCAGATATACCTTGTGGTCCCCTACTAGTGGGGTATGTACAACCTGGCGATAACAACCCGGCGGTGTGCTTACGATGTTACTATAAAAAAGTGTGCAAGTTTTAGCACACGCTCACAAAAAGTCATTTATGGGGTACCACTTCTAATGCCCCGCAGGGCATAGGACACCGAATATACAGTCATTTGAAAGACTTTACTCTGTGGGGTCCTGAAAAAATACCCCACAAAGTAAAAAAATGCCTCACAAGGGGTATGTGAAGCGCACATAAAACCCCACAAGAATGCTGAGGTGAGAGCACGCACGCGCACGCACACACACACACACACACGCGCAATGCAATGTAGTTTAAAACATATAATAAGAGAGAGAGAGAAGAAGAAGAGAGTAGCATATTTAAAAATAAAAAGGAAGAAGAGGAAACACATGAAAAATGCGAAATGTGAGATTAAAACTTTTAATATAGTCCTACCCAGTTTTACAAATTGATAAATAGTTCCCCTTTGCACAAAACTTTAAACTTAGACAAAGTTTAACTCGTTTAAATCATTCCATTTGCTTATTATTCCCACATTTCTAAATGATTTCAGTGCATGGGTTGTACGTACAGGGGGTTTGTGTAATAACATTTTTTGCCTTGTGTTATGTGAATGAACGGATGAATTTCTAATAAACATGTTTTGAAAAATGTGTGGAAGATTACCAGTGTGGAAATAAAACATAAATATACAAGTATTAAGTGATATTAGTTCTTGGACAGGAAGAACCTTCATTCTGCTAAATAATAGTTTCGTATGAGAATTATACATTGAATATGTTAAAATTCGAATTGCCCTCTTTTGAAGTATTTCCATTTTATTTAGATGAGATGAATATGAATTTCCCCACACTATATTGCAGTAAGATAAATGGGGTAATACTATCGAGTTGTAAAATAACATTAGAACATTTTGGGGAACGGTAAATTTTAATTTTGATGATACTCCAATGCTTCTAGATACTTTCAAAGTTACATTTTTAATGTGTTCTTCCAGTCCAGGAATTCGCCTATAGTAACACCAAGAAAGGATAGTGAATGTACACGTTGTAGGACTACGTTGTTAACAGAAATGTCATTAATGTCTCCGGAAACTCTCCTGTTCTTTGAACGAAATATGATGTCTTTTTTTTTATTAAAGCTCCCATCACACCAAACTTGTTCTCATCTCATTTATTAGAGAGGCACATCCCTGTATTTTACATTAGGTAAGTATATGACCCCACCCCAGGCATTTCCCTCATCACAAATAGTATATACATATTAGGGACATCACATTGATATTTCTATAGAACATTTTAACACTAAACAACCAGAAACCTTTCCTTTTGTTAATCTTACAAACTCAACAAAGAGAGATTTTTTGTGGGGGTGGGGGGTTGAGGGCTGCTTTAGATTGTACAAGAAAGACACATTTCTGTATACATATACATACACAATACACATTATAATAAAACTTTTGGCACACCTAAAACTGTAACCTGAACTGAAAATCTTTCAGCGAATCTTGGCAGAGATTTAATAAATGTGCTTGTGGGGGGGGGGGGGGGCAGAAACTCAACTATATTGTTGTACACACGCGCGATAAAGAAAAACGAGTAAAAAGGATATACCGGTAGCTTTTGTTGGTTAAGGTAATCAATGCGCATGATGCGTTTAGGTTGCCAAAAACGCCAAAGATTGGGTATGTTTCTGGAGTTAAGTAGGCAAAAAAAATCAGTTAAAGTTACGTTTCAAGAGTATGTTAAACTCACGTTTCATAAAATCTCCCAAATTAAAAAAAAAAAAACATTTGTTGCATGCTCAGCCCCCCCCCCCCCCCACACTTTCAAAAACGCTCTGCGTCCCCTGCGTTTCGGGTATATTTTTCCACCATATTGGTCTAGATTTTTTGCGACCTATAATTGACCTCATTAGGTATATGTTGTTATAGGGGTACATTTCATAGGGGGTAAAATGTAAAGCGAAACAAGTGGAAATTGGTGAATAGGGTATAAATTGAACAAGAATATAATGCATTTAGGGGTGGTTGAAACCTGTGGTCGCGCGTATGTACAACAATATAGTTAAGTGCCCCCCTCAACCCATAGAAGACAAAAAACGGTTTGAAGTTAAATTAAGTTGTCCAATTTTATTGCCAGAACGAGCCACTTTGATGTCTACATGAGTCAAGTTTGAAATTAATACGTCGAATGGTTTGCAAGAATGAAAATGGGATGGACCGGCAGCTAGGGGCGTTATACCTTTTTAAGTGGGGGGGGGGGGGGGGTTGTAGAGGCCATCAATTACCGACAAATATAATATGTCAATGTGCCAATGTCTACAATTTTTTTCTGTCTTTATTTTCTTTATTTTCCTTTCTATTCTTATCTTTTCTTTTCCTTTTTGCCTCCCCTGTTGCCTCTCTTTCTTTTTTCTTTTTCTTTCTTCTCTTCTCTTTCCTTTCTTTTCCTTTTTTCCCCTTTTCTTTCCCTTCCCTTCTCATTTTCCCCTCCTCTTTTCTCATTTTCCCCGACGGCAGCGCAATATCGACAATAATATCCTGATAGGTGTGTGTGTGGGGGGGGGGGGGGGGTGTGGTCGCACCCCACATCCCCCTTCGGAGACCCCCCCCCCCTTCCGCGGCGGGCAGCTACCCTGAATACAAGTATGTAGAAAAAGAAGAATACACAACATGCATTTATACTTATCATAGGCCTATAACTAAATCTAGATTATATACACTGTTGGTCATAATGGTGGAATATTTATTTTTACCCCAGTTTAGGGAAGGATTTTTAAAAATTATTTATTTCTAATAGATCTAGATAATGGCATACATTCTCAGAGTTTATTGAATATTAATTTGCGAGTGTTTGTTTTGCGTGACTGCTTAATCATATGTGTTCTACTATGCTAATCAGCTAAGGGACCTATGTCCTTAAGTCATAATTGACAGTAATGAGGATTAATGCCTCACAAAAGGGCACTAATATATAGCTGATCGGCACGATTTTTATCCTGGGGCCTCAAGTAACGAGGCCATTGCTTAGCCCCCTGAATCATGTCTGTACGCAGTGTTTGCTAGGGTACGCGGCCCCTTCCACAAATCCCCCAAAACGAAGAAAATGCAATAAATTGTCAAAAAATTCATTGCATTTCCCCCCGGCCCCCCAACAGGAAAAATTCCTTGTAGGGCCATGCATTATGGTTCAAGGCATGGCCACACAGAGGGCACTAATATATAGCTGATCGGCACGATTTTTATCCTGGGGCCTCACAGTAACGAGGCCATTGCTTAGCCCCCTGAATCATGACTGTACGCAGTGTTTGCTAGGGTACGCGGCCCCTTCCACAAATCCCCCAAAACGAAGAAAATGCAATAAATTGTCAAAAATTCATTGCATTTCCCCCCGGCCCCCAACAGGAAAAATTCCTTGTAGGGCCATGCATTATGGTTCAAGGCATGGCCACACAGAGGGCACTAATATATAGCTGATCGGCACGATTTTTATCCTGGGGCCTCACAGTAACGAGGCCATTGCTTAGCCCCCTGAATCATGACTGTACGCAGTGTTTGCTAGGGTACGCGGCCCCTTCCACAAATCCCCCAAAACGAAGAAAATGCAATAAATTGTCAAAAATTCATTGCATTTCCCCCCGGCCCCCAACAGGAAAAATTCCTTGTAGGGCCATGCATTATGGTTCAAGGCATGGCCACACACAGGAATTTTTCCTGTAGGGGGCCGGGGGAAAATGCAATGAATTTTTGACAAGCTATTGCATTTTCGTCGTTTTGGGGGATTTGTGGAAGAGGCCG